GTAATGAAAACAAGTAGACTTGCCAGATTTTTTTAAAAGAAGGAATATAGTTACACCTAAAAGTCTTTCCTTGTTTATCTGAAGTTCAAATTTAACTGGGCATTTTGTTCTTTTATTTGATAAGTCTGTCCATCTAAGCAGGTGAAATAAATCTGAAGATTCTGCTTCTTACCACTTCAACATATAACCAATGTTTAAAAAATTGAGATATTTTAAGTTTTAATTAATTAAAAGTAAATAAAATTAAAAATTCAGCTTCTCATTCACCCTTGCCACACCTCAAGTGTCTGGTAGCCATATGTGGCCACATATTGGACAAATTGTAGCTACTGTATTGGACAGCACAGCTCTACACAATAAACTCCTAAAGTCATGAATGATGTTCACCTTTGTAATCTCCCCCGTGAACTAGCATAGTAGCAAGACTCTGTAATTACCACCAACAGAAGGAGATATATTTGAATAGAAAAGATAGACAAAAGGTAGACAATAATGAGCAGAGAAGAGAAGTAGTATATGAATTGAACAAAAGGGCCTTCTAGAAGCCCAAGAAATTATACCCTTTGGACAGAAACTTATATGAAAAAGATGGTCCTTAGAGAAACAGTTTCATAACCAACTGGAATCTAATTTTAAAAGAAAAATATATATTGTGTACCTCAGCAATATATACAGAGACAAGGAAAAGGTGTCTTTCAAGAAAGTTTCTATCCCAGCATGCACCAGACATTTCTTTCTCTGCATTTTACGTGGAACTTAATTCCTAACATGCATATATTTTCCACAGAAACAGCATAACAAACTCCATTGCTATAAAGACAGCAAAGACAAACTCTCCCTCAGAATTCCATAGAGCAAAGAGTCGTGAGGCTGGGGATCTCTGATGAGCATGGCTATTTTCTCTAAATCCTCTCAGGGTGTTTTCTGTTTTCCAAAATGAAAGCAACCTGGAAATTATTTACTTCACGGTGGAGACCCAGAAGAAGAGTAATGGCAGGCTGAAAGCTCACAAAAGTGAAGGCTGAAGCTGTCCTTTTCCTCGGGGAAAAATAATCTGAGTCTGATGCAATGCAGTCATTTTTTCCCCGCCATTCTTTTTATCTGCCGAAGCTGTATTCTCCAAGAGCATTCATCAGGCGCTCTTTCTTGGTTGGCAGAGAGGCTCTGTATGAATTCTAACCCTGCTATATGATCCATCTTGGAAAGAGGAAAATATAATAAAGGGGAGGGAAGATCATTCTTGTATTGATATTTACATTTCCCAGAACATATAAAACTATCATTTAAAATTAATTGCTCACCAGACCACACTCCCACTGAGAAAATGTTGTTTTATTCAGAGAGGCAACTGACCCGGAGTCCCTTTGAGTTGGAGAAGCTGTTTTAATTATCCTCCTCACTTCACTCCCCAAACAAGCCCCCTTTAATGGTTCGGTTTGTGCAAAGTTCCCCTCCTTTGTATTTTTAGTCAACTGAAGTTTAGGCCTTATATATCATTTTTAATTAGTTAAAAGATAAATATTATAAACTTCTGAACTGACAAAGCAGTAATTGCTTTCCAGTCTATAAATGGTGGTGGTGGTGGTGGTTTCCAGTGACAATTAGAGAACCTATTTTTGAAGTTAGCATCTACCTATTAGTGGTGAGGTTAATGTCCTGGTTTGGGGGGAAGGATGGTATAAAAATTTTAATGATCTTACACTGGTTGGGTAATGTTTGAACATTGGAAAGATGGCATTCAAGTACACTACCCACCAGTAGTTTATTGAGGCATGAACCCAGGGGCAATAATCTGAAAAGAAAGGTAACCATTCAGTGAGGAATCATTTACTTCTACTACTTAGCATTTACTAGAACTGACAAGTTACTAGTCCTTAAATACGTTCACCTCTCAAGAGCGACTCTTTATCTTTTTCTTCTCTGTAATCTCCCAAGCTAGTATAGCTACCCTACAGAAGGATAACATGGCTTAGGATGGAGTTAGAGTCCTGGTTAGAAATAATTTAACTCTCCTTCACCCTGAAAATAATGCTTTACTAGCTCTGTCAGTACAAGTACAAAATTGTTAGGAGACAATTCTCTGTGGGTCGCATGCTTCTGCACATTTTGCAAGAGAAACGCTGATTGCTCTTTTATTCTGGACTATATTTTCACGGATGTTTGTACAGCCAACAGCCTTGGAAGAAAAAGATGGTATTTCCCTCCAAAACAAAGAGAGATACTTTGCATGCTCATCCTCCAGTGCCATAAAGATAATGCCTCCTTGAGAGCAAACACGGAAATGCTTACTGCCCATTGTAAAATATTTGGGTTCCCTAAACTCAGAGTTCCCCTGCGTGTGAGGCTGTCCCTTGGCCCCCATTTTTGTTTGTTTCCATCACCCTATGGGACTCAGGGAACTGGCAAAAGAGAAAAGAATGCTTATATTCTGACCATTGCTATCACTGTGAGCAATAAAGAGCCTTTTGTTTCTTACTCAGGGATTTTTTTTTTTTTTCTTGTCTTCTACCAGTATCCATGAAACGGTGGTGGTCTCACTTGCTAGCTTGCAAGTAGGGTAAAAATCTCAAAGCCTTGACAGTCCTTAACAAGAAGCACTTAGGAAAAGATGCACAGAGATGGAGGCTTTTACCCCTCACATAGCTTCTCCTGATGCTTTCCTTCAGGCTGAGGCTGGAGAGGGCAGAAGGTGAGGGCTTTCTGGGGTACAGGTTCTCGGTGAATTATAGCACACTAGTGCACTGCAGACCCTTCCTCAGGGTAGAGTTTGGGCTCAGTATGTAAAATGTACTTGTGCTGCAACTGAGGACCTAAGCCCTTATGGTGATGTCCATCAGATAGGATGCTGGGCTGACCTGACTGTGCAGCGCAATATGGAATAGAGTATTCCTCACTGAGGGTAAGACAGGAGAGCTTAAACTCAATCTCGCAGGAAAGGGAATTGAGCATTCACTGGAACAAACCTTGCTTCACAAAGGGGAAAGTATTGTCAGAGCATTCAGAAACTTGATTCAAGTGGAGACTGGAGCTGAAGGCCCAAAGTGTGACTAGTTGAAGAGGATAGTCACTTCAGTAATTTTTTCAGTTTTCCAAAACTTTTCCCTTTTTTTGAACTGATTTTTCATCTTTTCAAGGGCACTGCCACCTGATTTAGAATTCAATTATTTTGTGTGCCACAAAGACATAAAGGTTATAAACCACAGATCTAGAATGTCCCCAGCTATGGGTTGTGTGGGTGTTGCCAAGCCCAGTGTCTGCAAGGAATCCTCCACCCCAACCCCCGGGAGGTCTATTCTCAAAGGAATCAACAGGCTACACCAGGGTCTAAATATAGAGCTGAGCAGGGACTCTTGGGTGGCTCAGTCGATTAAGCACTACCTTCGGCCCAGGTCATGATCCCAGGGTCCTGGCATCGAGCCCCGCATTGGGCTCCCTGCTCAGCGGAGAGTGCCTGCCACTCCCCCTGCTGGTGCGTGCTTTCTCTCTCTGACAAATAAATGAACAAAATGTTTAAAAATATATAAATAAATAAATAGCTGAGCAAATAGTACTTACCCAGTACCCTTTTACTTGGTACACCTTCCTTGGTGTCCTTTGAGACGCAATGCGAAAATGGGAATATGCCCTCTCTCAACACTCCAAGCTCCCCTCTCATTCTCAAAACTGGCTCCATGTACATACTATCTGAACAGAGTTAGAGATTTATTCCCGGAATCCCAGGATCCAGCCCTGCATCAGGCTCCCCGCTCCATGGGGCATCTGCTTCTCCCTCTGACCCTCATACATAAAGCTTTGCCAGTCACACCTAAGGGATAAGATAAGAGAAAACGCATCTCAAGAGTCCTTGCCAGAGGCAGAACTCCAGGAGGAGGTCTTGGGCCTCTGGAGAGAAATCCCAAGATAAGAGAGGGATTCCACATACCACAGAAGTAAGTGACAGGATGCAAGGAGGGCCGAGGATAAATGGGCGGCACTTAAGCCTGCCTCACCCTGTGAAGAATGTAGGAGAGCTCCCTCCCTGCCAGTCCAAAGGACTTGCTGCCCTCACACATTCTGGTTTCCTCCCTAATGATAAGGTTAAAAAAAAAAAAAAAGCCTCCATGCCTATGAAGTCCTAGAGGTTGAGCTATAAGGAGTGACCTCTGTCAATATCCAGAGAGCAAAGAAAAGTGATTTCTCTTAGGAAGAACCTCACTCTTCACCTTTGATTAAAAGTACAAATAAATAAATAAACAAACATAAATATTTTAGGTTAATGTGCTAATTGACCACCTGCTATGTTCACAGTTGTCCTCTGTAAAGGAAAACCCAGCTGTCTTTCTATTGAAGATGCGTTAAATAAGAAAGCCCTTTCCAGGAAAGTCCAATTTAAGGATGGCTCTATGTTCTAATGAAGACTTTTGACCCCTGGGAAATATAAGAAGGAACATCCAGAAGTAGTGATATTAGATTTTCTACTTTTTAATCCTGACGGGAAAGCTTATTTTGAAGAATTTCAATTCTTCATGCAAATATACAACAGATGACAGAACTGAGTAACTGTTAAGAGCTTAGCTCTTCCCCGGCAATCTTTTCAGGTTTTGATTCCCTATTAAAACTCAATTCTTGGGGCACCTGGTGGCTCAGTGGGTTAAGCATCTTCCTTCAGCTTAGGTCATGACCCTGGAGTCCCACGATCCAGCCCTGCATCACGCTCCCTGCTCAGTGGGGCATCTGCTTCTCCCTTGACCCTCCCCAATCTCATGCACACTTTCTCTCTCAAATAAATGAAATCTTAAAAAACAACAACACTCAATTCTTAGGTCCACTTAGAGAGAGAAGGAAGGAAAAGAATGTCTCTTGCTTCAAACTCATAATGGCATCCAGCTCTGCTTTGCCCACTTTAGGTAGATTGCTTGGTTTGGATGCTTACACTATTTTTTCTGGAAACCACTCGTACTTCTGGGTTGCACTCCGAAACCACTAGAAGTCGTCTGGCTGAGAAGGAATTAGAGTCCAAGTACTTTTTTTATGGCTTTATTTTACCTGCTCCTCCTGAGCACCCTGCACTTTAACAAACACAGAAAACACATTTATTGACAACTTTTTACAGTGATGTCCTACAGGAAGATTTTGTTGTTACCCACTCTTTCCCAAGTTTTACTGCAAAAGACGAAGCCCTGCTGAATCCAGCTGGTGACTCCCATGGAAAAGTTTACCACAGAAACATTTGCAATCAGTTAAGACTTTGGTCCCATAATGCTCAGCAAAGGAAGTTGAAGACAATTCAGAATGGAAATAGAACTCTATATGCCAAACCTTAGAGCTAAGTTTTACAGCATCACCCTTGATAGATGTGTGTTTATCTCATTGTTTGGTGCCCAGTGAATGGAGATGAGTATGTCTTTAAGATTTTTATTCACTACGTTTGTGTCTGCATCTGTATAGAACATTATCTTCCACTTGGCAGGTCACCTAGACTTGCCCACATCTGGTTCTGCTTTCATTTCTCTGACCCTATTCCTTTCTGGCCAGCACTCAAAAAGAACTACAAGTTTATAGGTGCCACGGAGGCATATGGTTGAAGGGAATCTTTTCTCTTTTCCCAAGTTCCTATTTCTGTTTTGATTTTTTTTCCCCTTATTTTTCACTTAATTAGGAAGAATTACAATTGAGTGGAGGCTTTTATTAATATTTGGGGAAAATGACATGTTAAAGAGGCATTTTAGAGTGATCTGAATGCTTGAAAACTTTATTTTTACTGCTGACTACAGACTATGTTGAGAGGCAGTTCTTTACTGAAGGACCAGGGGCTTCAGGGTTGGGCAGAGTCAATTCCAAATCTAGTTCTGCCACTTGTTGGTGACCTGAATCCTGGATTTTCTGCATCTGTATTTACGTGATAAAAGGAAGTCAACATGTTTAGGTTGTTGTGAAGATTAACTCTAAACGCATGATAAGTGCCTGGTAAAAGGGAAGTATTATTAATGAAGAGTAGCTCTTAATATTTAGCTGCAGTAAAATGCAACATTCTGATCATACTCAGCAATTAAAAGGAAAACGTGCTGGTTTTCATCTCTGTGAGATCTCATTATTATGTAGTGGTTTTCCATTAGGCTCAATAGAATGTCATTGCTAATAATAAAGGCTGTGAAAGCTTACTGAGCCATAGAAGTTTTATTTGCTTAATGTGAGAGAATAGGCCCAAGGACAATACATTCATGGTTTGGGAAAGAGAAACAGATTACTAGAAAAGCAATAGCATGCCGAACATGTCAAAGAAAAATACAGCACTGATAAACATGAAAATAAGTCCTGGTACCAGGAATAAGGCAAAACCGTGATTTTTTACTGAAAATGCAGGGAGTTGACCTTCCAAAACAGACAAGATTAGTCGAAGGAAACCATTGTCTATCTTACTGCTCTAGTCTCTTGATGATAATAAGCTTTCACTCCCAAGTGAAGGGAAAGGAAAGGCTCCACCTAGGTGTGACCAATGCCAATCTCAGTTAACCATCTGAGGTGGCCAAGTGGAGTCACCTCAGAATGTTAAGGTTACTGTAAAATATAACACCTGTGAGCAGTAAAATCAAGCACAGAGACCTCTCTACACTCACCTAGGGTAGCCCTTGACATAAAGGAAAATGAAGTTTAAAAATAAAGAATTTGAACAAGATCTTCAAACATGACAGATTTGAGGTGGTTATTTCACTCCTGGAGTCAAGTAAGATATATTGTATGATTCTGATAGGATTTACATAACCGGCTGGATTTCAAGTTTGCTTCTTCATGTGGGTGATGGTGTTCGCTGCAGCAGGGGAGAAAGCTATGATTTGTAACTTTAAAGCAGCAATTATTTTCTATACTTCCTAACAATTTCTCAGGTACCCCATGACAGTCACACCCATCTCTCTAAATTCTGTAAAAATATATTTTGTTTCTTCTCTCTCTCTCAGGTGAAGTTGACTTTCATAAGGAAAGACAGGGATGGAGGTAAACATTGGAGTTTGTCTTTAATCAGTTTTCCTTTCTCCTATTTGGTATCGCTTACTTCCCTCTGGGTCATTTCAATGAAATTAGACTTCACCATGCCATCCTAAATAAAGGAAAAGAGGAGTATGAATTAATGAAGTTTGGGTAATATAATTCTTTTAATGAAATTCAGGTTTATTGCTTTAAAGAATCTATGGTAATTAAAACTAGACTGAGAACTGCTTCGTTGAGATTCAAATTTAATAAATAACAAAGCAAGATTTGCAATTAGATTATCATATCCAGGCGCCAGCCCAAGTATTGCCGACGTCTGCGTATCTTGTAAGTATACTATTTTATTCATTTATTCATTCATTTTTCCACACAAACTTATTGAGCACGTATTATTTGCCAGGCCGATGCTAAATGCTAGAGATAGAATGGTTAACAAGAGAGAATTGCTTCTTCACCTGATTGCATCTTGTATAACTGGAAACATTTTTCTTCTAATTAATCTTTCCCCTTATGATCTTATTTACATGATTCCATATATTCATATAATCACAAACTCACAATAAGTCTAAATTAATGAGGCTTTTTCCTAGGTTTTTTTTCCCCCTCCAAGGGCAGAAACTGATCAGCAGCTCTTTCTTTTTCTGCAGCCTTGTGTCTTAAAAGGTAAAAAACTATCTCAATCTGTTTTCTTTTTCTCTGACAATTTGCAGGAAATAGGTGACTTTTGATCTGAAGAGACACGTCAGGTTAGTCTGTTCCTTATTTCTGCTGTACCAATTATCATAAAAGTACTAACAAATAAGCTAAGAGAAGTATTATGAAGTCAGGCAAATATTGTTCAGTAAAAATGTGGCGGAAATCCATTTTGATGGAAAGAAGCTAAAACCTCCAATAGGTCACAATAATACAGCTGTCTCAGGTGGAAAGTGACTTTGGAAAGTTACGGTTATGCACACAAGTGTTACATAATGTTTAGTGTTCAGAAGTTACATCTGTCCCTCAGCACTAACAGTAAAGGGCACAGAGTCCTATAAGGAGAACTGAGTCTGGCGGTCCCATCTCTGCTGTGACCTTGGGTCAGTGGCCTCATCACTTAGGGATGCAGCATACTCAAAAGCACAGTAGTTGAAATCAGAAGCCTGATTTGTGACTGTGGGCAAAACTCTTTCCATCAGTTTCAAATGATGAGATCAGGGCAGAAGTTCTCTAAAAGAATCTCCAGGGGCACCTGGGTGGCTCAGTCGTTAAGCATCTGCCTTTGGCTCAGGTCATGATCCCAGGGTCCTGGGATCGAGCCCCGCATCGGGCTCTCTGCTCGGCGGGAAGCCTGCTTCTCCCTCTCCCACTCCCCCTGCTTGTGTTCCCTCTCTCGCTGTGTCTCTCTCTGTCAAATAAATAAGTAAAATCTTAAAAAAAAAAAAAAAAAAGAATCTCCAGTGTTAGCGTTCTTAATTTCTAGAATTAGAGTTAACATGAGAGTTGTTTCCCAGGTTGGGGAAAAAAAAAAAAAGATGGCTGTGGAACAGCACCTGCTCACTCAGCACTCTCCTTTTGGGATCGTCACACTAGACCATCCAAGGGCACAGGAGAATGTGGTAATAAGCCCATGTCAGGGGTTGAAATGTGTTTCCCACCCCCAATTTGTATGTTGAATCCTAACCCCCAGTACCTCAGATTCCGACCTTATTTGAAGATAGGGTTCTTAAAGAGTTAAAAGGGAGAGTTTAAAGAGTTAAAATGAGGTCATTAGGATGGCTGTAATCCAGTGTGACTGATGTCTTTATAAAAGGGAGAGATTTGGATGTAGAGGTACACACAGAGGAAAGGTGATGTGAAGACACAGGAAGAAGAAGACAGCCATCTGCAAGCCAAGGGGAGAGGCATGGAGCAGATCCTTCCCTCTCTCAGCCCTCAGAAGCAATCAGTCCTGCCAACACCTAGAACTCAAACTTCCAGACTCCGGAACTGGGAGACGACAAAATTCTGTGGTTTAAGCCATGCTGTTTGTGGTACTTTGTTAAGGCAGCCCTAGCAAACTAACACACGCCATGAGCTAGTTCCAAGAACACAAAAGGGGGCCTGACTCTCCCAAAGAATAAAAAGCTTGGATCCTAGACTTCTTACCCCTTCTAAACACACACCCCAATTTGCATGTTGCCCCCTCATGGCACCAACTTTGTCCCAATTCCCCAAAGCTGTCAATAACCACATTTTAACAAGATAGAAATAGGCTGATGTGATATCAAGGATTTCTCATCTGATTTGCCCACCCTCATTCTCTGCCTCAGAATGGTCTCCTTTGTAAAACTAGTTGGTGGGATTTGATAGTGAGGACCTCTTTTAGCTACAATATCTGCATAAGTGTATGTGGCAGGTAATAGGATCCACTGAGACAATTTGAGAGGAGGAATGATATGATTAAAATGGTGCTTGAGGAAGATCAATGACAAGGCAAAGGAGGGATTAGAAGAGAGAAGTAGAGGTTGAGAGACAACAATCATTGTAATTGTTCAAATGGGTGATGTGACCAAATAGCCAACAGAATTAGATCAGATCAATGAGTGATTCTCAAACTTGAGTGTGGGCCAGAATTGCCTGAAGACCTCTTAAAACATAGATTGCTGGACCCCCCACCCTTCGGGATTCTGTGTCATTAGGTCTGGGGAAGAGGACCAGAATTTCTATTTCTAACAGGTTTCCGAAGTGAGGCTGATTCTACTGCTTTAGAGACCACACATTGAGAATCCCTGGGCTGGATTGTCACAGCCATGACATTCTAGAGAATTTGGACTCCAAGTTTAGGTTAAAAAAATTTTTTTTTCAAGTTTGGCTTTTGGCAAGAACAGGGTTTGTTTATTTATGCTTTCGATTTTGTTTTTTGGCCAGAATTATCCAAGCTGTTAAATACACAAGAGTACCAACTCAATGATAATTGATTGTGCAAAGTTCTGTCTGATGTGGGGCCATATTAACCAGGAATTAGAGGCCTCAGATTTTAAAACTGAAGGGGAAAGATCATGAATTGGTGTCCTCAAATCTGGCTACAGTCTTAAGTTAAAAACGTAGGTGACTACCAATCCTATTCCTCCAACTTTCCTACCCCAATTGAGAATCACTGATTTATAATTTGCAAAGCCTTTTCATTTGATTTTCAAAAAGCACTGGTGAATTCACAAATAATGGTTCTGTTCATCATTCTGTGGATGTAGGCTGAGAAAGTATTACTCCCAGTTTACAGATTAAAAAAGGAGACTCAAAAGGATCTTGCCCCTCTTTCATTTTTGTTCTTGCCAGGATTTCAATAATTTTCCAAAAAAAGATTAATGTTCCAGCTCCAGAAGTTTCTCTTAACATCTATAATAGAAACAATATTGGACTGATCATTAAATTCACACAAGCAATTTAAAGCAAATCGCCACAGAATTAAGGTCCATTAAAAACAGCCAATCAGCCCTAACGGACTTCTCCATTCGTAAATTATGGATTCTGCTTGAATATTCATCCTATCACATTGATCAAATTTCTGTTTCTTTCTTCTGTGTTCTTAGAATTAATTTCATATAAAGTGGCTTCAAGCTACAGATCCAGCAAATCGTCCCTTGTTAAATGAGGGGAAAATAAGCTTCTTGTTTCTGATTTTCTTCAGGTTCACAAAGAGAAAAATCCCAAGAACTGTACTTTCTATTAAATCGAGAAGAGAGATGTGTAATGAGGAAAGAATTTTGTTCAATAATAGCAGCAGTGCCACATAGCTGACCAGCTGGAGCCCAGCCCAGCTGCGGCCCCACAGCCCGCCCTTCCAGGGAGAAGCCAGCGTGGCTCAGCTGAGGTGCTCTGACAGAGGGCATTTGCCCTCAGCCTTCCATCCAAGAAACCAGCCATCCCTTTCTATAGCGGTACTTACGCATTCAGAAAACTTTACCATCTCTCTCTCTCTTTCATTTCCCAACTCCCGTCCTTTAAATCAGTTTGTCTGGGCTCTCACAATGAGCACTGTAGTGTATTGGATCCATCCAGATGATCCTTGGATTTAAATGAGAAATGAGTTGTTGTTTTCATTTCCTTGGGGACTTAATTTTACTCAAAAGATGAGGGTTACACACTGACACTTTATCTTCATGAGAGAAAGCAAGAGAGAGGCACACACACAGAGACACAGAGACAGAGAGAGGGGGGCCATTCTGAGATGGATGTTTCGACCTCTCCTTCCTGATTGCTATTTAAAGCGCCTATTCTAACTTGGAGAAAATGTAATATATAGTTCCTTAATGTGTTTAGTTAAGGACCTCATGAATCATGTGGATTTCTCCACAGCCTAAGTGGCTATTATGCTGACCCAAGGGTGTGCCATTTTGTGGACACTTCATCTGTGTGTCCCTGTTTATTTGTAGCGAGCAAGCCCAGTTCTGTAAGACACTGATTAGAGAGGCAGTGGAAGTTGTTATCTACTGTAAATTGCATATAGCACGAATCTGCCAACCGGTGTTCACATAATTGAAGATGCTGAGCTCTCAGACTTGATTGTGATTTTGGTTTGGGGCTTCCAATTCTAGCTCAGCCTCTCAATAAGTCCAAGACTACTCTTTATCCTGAATGATTCCTTTTCAGGAACAACACTCTAACCACAAATCCTGGAGACTACATACCAGTTGGTGCATTTAAGACTTGCTTTTCAACTATAACAATGTCATCTTTAGTCCTCTCAAAACTAATGAACCAACGCTGCTTCCTTTGCTTACCACTGGATTTCAACTTTGCAAGGAATTTTACTAAGTAGAGAGAGGCAGTGGGGGGTGGTGATGGTGGTGAGTTAGCACGAAGCAGAGCTTTCTTACCAGCTGTTATACATCAAGAAGACAGACTTCTGTAACCCTTTCCTAGCACACTAAAGCCAGACGCTCCGTGCTGATAAAGATTTTCCCTTGAACACATACACACAACATAACACCATGAACTAATTCATATTTAAATATGATTAATAAAACGTGACACTGTTTGTGTCTGTGTTTTGGATTACCGCAGACAAGTGTGAGAACACAGAGGCACTGAACAGGGTTGGTATCATTGACATCCCCAAATGGCACTGCTGTTTGCTGGTTTCTCAAGGAAAGCCACTCTTTTCCCACTGAGATGTAGATCAAGAAAACACCAATCTGAAAAGTATAAAGAAAAAGCCTAGGGTTAGACTTGACCTCGGTCATATCTCAAAAGTGTGCTCAAGGGTTAATTCCAGGGCACCTCCCAGGAAATGACAAATGTTTCCATAGCCCAAGTTTTGCTCACTCCCTGGCCCCCAATATCCAGACTTCCAGGCTTCAAATAGTTAGAAAAAGTGTTTGGTTTGAAATAATTCCTGAGGTTTAGCTTGTCTCACACACCACATTCTTTTTGCCCTCCTCCCCCAGCCCAGTTTTGAGGAAAAGGAAAATGGCTTGGAATTCTGATGATAAACTTTCTTAAAATTGTCCACGTTGCTTGCTGAGGCAAACAGTGATAATAATAACAACAACAACAATAATAAATCTAAAGCATAGGATTTCTGTAGTTGCTAAATATTTGTCTTCAATTTAGAGATATTTGTCTTTTTTTTTTTTTTAAGATTTTATTTATTTATTTGACAGAGAAAGAGGTAGGAGAGGGAGAACACAAGCAGGAGGAGTGGGAGAGGGAGAAGCAGGCTTCCGGCGGAGCAGGGAGCCCGATGCGGGGCTCAGTCCCAGGACCCTGGGTTCATGACCTGAGCCAAAGGCGGACACTTAACAACTGAGCCACCCAGGCGCCCTTTGTCTTCTTTTTCACACCTGGAATTCTTACTATAGTTTTCATTTTGCAGTTTTCCATTTTAACTTAATTCCATTTCACCCTACTCCCGTGAAGACATCAAATATTTTGTGAAGCCCAAGGTCCCTGGATGTACCAAAACCTTTAAATCAGTGTCTGTAAGCTATTTTTTTAACTTGTAGATGCCAGGAGCCCACCCCTAAAAAATTCTCATTCTGACCTGAAGCCTTAGAAAGTGTAATTGGTCTTCCAGTGATATTAATAACAGAACATGGCTTAGAAAACACTGCTACATAGTGTATCCCTAAACACACACACACATACATGGTACTCCCACTAAATGACGACCATCAGAGAAGAACAGTCATCTTTAAGAGTTCTATTTGGAATTCTGCTGCAGAGGATATCCTCTTTTTCCTTTATGCTAAACTTCTTGAAAAAGTGGCCAGTCTGCCTCACTACTTCTTACCCCACTGCCCACTTACACTGGGTACAACCTAGCTTTCCTCCTCATGATTCCTAGATCAGTGGTCAGTGACCTCCTAATCATAAAGTTCAATGGTCTTCTTTAGTCCCTTGCTTCTTAAACATACTTTCAGCCTTAATACTTGACCATCTTTACCTCCTTGAAGCCCATTACTCCTTTGCATTAGGAGCTCTGCTCTCCTTCAGATGTCTTCTTATCTCTTTCTTTGCTCTTTCTCTGTATCCTCATATTCCTTCTGCTGCAAAAAAATTCCTCCCAGAACTGCCATTGGCTGTTTTATTTTCCATCTCCACAAAGTCTCATCTGGCAAGCTTATTCAACCCCGCAGCTTCAAGAGCACCTCATCAACAAGAGCTCCCAGATCCCTCTCTCTAATTCTGACCTCTCCCCCATCTCCATTCCTCTCCCTCTATTGTTCGCAAGACTCCCTCATCCGGCTCTTCCACTATACCCCCAAAACAACATATTCAAAAGGGAATTAATCTTTTCTCCCAGATCCACTGCTCACATAGTGTTTTTTGGTTTCGTAAATGGTAGCTCAATCCTCTCATCTGTTGGGGCTCTAAGCTCCACATCATCTCTGACTGATTCCTACACTAGCCCACAACATTCAAACAGGGATCTAGCCCTGCTGATTCTTCCACCCAGATGTCTCCAATTCAGACTAGAAATTGTCCTACTGCCAGACTAGAAATAATGTTGCATTTTAAATAAGGGGAAGATTTTTTGAGAATAAGAGTATTCAGTAAAAGACTCAAAATGCTCAAGATGAGACTTGAACACTCCTTGAAAGACAAGGAGGATTTCAATAAGTGAAAGGAGATATGGAATGGAATCTGGTAGAAAGATCAACATGGGTAAAGGTGCAGAGATGGGCATAAGCATGACATGTGCATATATACCAAGGATATGTTGGACTAAAGCCAAGTGTGCTTATTAATCTCCAAAAGTGGCTCCCTAATAACCATGATTCCAGGTGATCATACCTTATGCCGTCCCATCTTCTTGAATCTTAGTTGGCACTGAGGCTCTCTTTGTGATTTTAACATGTAGTGTAGGTGCATCTGCATCACCTCCATTCTATGGCTAAGACAGAAGAAGTCTCTCAGCTTCTGCTTTTGTCTCTTAGAACACTCTCTGTGGGAGGCAAATAAGAAAACCGACTTCTGTGCTGGAGATGCCACATGTAGACATTTCTGTCAATAGTCCCAGTTGAGCCCAGACTTTCAGTCATCTCTGTTAAGGCAACACATATACCACATATACGAACAAAGCCATCTTGGACCCTTTGGACCAGAGCAGCTGCCGGCTGAACCCTGAGTGACCTCAGCCAATACAAAGTAAAACAGAATAATCACCCAGCTAAGCCCCACTTGAATTCCTGAGCCATAAATCAAGAATTTGTTGTTTAAAGCCACTAAGGCTTTAAGGCTAGCTTGTCTGGAAAACTCTCTTAAAGTTCTCTTAAAGCCACTAAGGCTTTAAGGCTAGCTTGTTAGGCAGCAATAGATAACCAAAGCACAAAGGTGAATTTTGTTGAGTAGTAGAAAATAAGATTAAATATGTATGATGTTTCCAAATTATGGAGAGGCTTAAAAACGTCAAGCAGAGTGGCTCTTTTTGCTGATATAGGATAATAGGGAGTAAATGAAAGTTTTGAGCAGTAGAATGATAATCATAGCATTGTGCAAAAGATAGTTTGGCAGAAACACACAAAATGCATACATGAATGGCAAGCATTTGACAACCTGATATAAAAGATCTAGGGTCTAAAATTGGGTTTGTTGATACCAAAAAAGTTATTGAACTTGCTACTACCTCAAGGGATTGTTGTGCTGGCTAAATGGGTCATATACATGACAGTACTGGAAAGCTCATTCTGAATACCATATGAAATAAATTCTTGTTAGTCAGACGAAGGAGGGACTAGAGGCATCAAAGCAACTACAAAGTTGGAACAGCAATCTGCAAGTTGTGTGAAGCATTGCTTATTTAGGATAAGGGATTTGGTCCCTCGCTAGCCTTATTTCCCACCACTTCCTGCTACGTAATTTGTACCCTAGCCCCATTAACCATGGAGGGTGGCCTCAACACTCTGGTTCATACTATACCCCCTACCTCTATGTCTTGTCTTTCTCTTCTTATCTACCATGCCATCCTATTCCTCTTTCAAAACTCATTGAGAGGTTTGCTTCTCTTATCGACTTTTCCTTGACTTTCACAGTTTGAATTAATAGCTCTCTCATTGTGGCCTCCACTATACATTGTACTCTACAATAATTCCCCATCATATTAAATGGCATTTGTTGATTTATGTATTTGTATTTCCAATGGTACTACACTCTGAGCAGCTTTGATTATCTGACACAGAGTATGAGACTTAATCCATGTTTTTCTTTTCTGTTTTTATTAACTAGAACATTTGGGATAGTAATATAAGAAGGTTGAAACAAGTGGCATCTTAAAGGAAAAAAATAAGATGTTACGATTGACTGAATTTTAAGAAGAAAGACTATGGAAGAATCACAGGTGATCCTGAGGTTTCAGATGTACAACTGAGAGACCATTATGGTACAAAGAGACTCGGGAAAATACAAAGATTTTGGACATAATGGAAGAATTTTGCAAAGTTTAGATGTGAATATGTTGAACTGAGAAAATGGCAGAACATGCAAATAGAAGTATCCAGAATTAGTTGTATATATAAGGCTAACATTGAGTTCATAGAACAAAAGTCAACATTTAGTGGTGGTGCTTTACATTAGAATGATGATATTCAGTTACCTCCCTGTTAAAAGATCTTCTCAGAGCAATAGTGTACAGAGAGGGGAGGAGACCCATCTTCAGGGATCAAGAGAAAGAAAGAGGTTATAGAGGGAAACTGAAATGGGTCAGTATTCATAAGACTACCAGTGGTGATTTCACAGAAACCACAGTAGCAGTTGCCTGACAGTCAGCAGCAAATAATGTCCTGAAATATACCAGGTGTAAATCTAAGTTGAATTCACAAGTCTGCCTTTCTCCCTTCTTTCCCCATATTTATTAGACACCGTCATCCACTCAGTGTTCCAAAGGACATTTAGGAATCATTCACAATTCCTCCCTTAATCCTGATATTCTCTCAGCAAATTCTATGAACTTGCCCTTGAAACACAATTCTCCTTCTCCTCCTGTCCAACCCACCACCACGTTATGTGATACAATTGCTTTTCAACTGCCTGGCTCTAATCTCAACTCCCCAAGATCCATCCTTCCCACTGCCAGAATAATTGTTCTAAAACACAAATTAAACCACAGAATTGCCCTAGTGAGGATCCTTCAATAACTTTCCATTCCCTACAAGATAGACCTTTGCCCTCCATGACATGGATGCTGCCTACTTGTCTACTTCTCTTCTGATTCTTTGCCATAAACAGCTCCCATGTTCCATCCATGGGAAATTATACACAGGTATTTCAAAACAATATGCTTGAGAGGGCATTTATCATTTTCTCAAGCTTAAATGCACTCTTCTGCTAGGATTCTCTGTCTCAGAAATGTTATCACAGGACACCTGGGTGGCTCAGTCGGTCAAGTGTCTGCCTTTGGCTCAGGTCATGATCCCGGGGTCCTGGGGTTGAGTCCCATATCGGGCTCCTTGCTCAGTGGGGAGCCTGCTTCTCCCTCTGCCTGCGCTCCCCCTGCTTTTGCATGTGCATGCGCGCTCTCTCTGACAAATAAATAAATAAAATCTTAAAAAAAAAAGAAAGGAATGTTACCACAAGGCAGAAAACTGATTGTCACATCTGATTTTCTCTTTTCCTGATTCTCATATCCTAAATCCACCTAATTCTCTTCATCCCCAATGTTATCACCCCAGACCCCACTACCAATCATCTCTCATCTGGAAAAATCTCTTAAAGTTCTCTTAAAGAGCCTTGTGCCATTCACCCCTCTCCAATTCATTCTCAAGACCACAGAGAGTTATCTTTCTAAACAAAATTTGATTGCAGTTAGAGTTAGAGAGAAGGCTAGGGTTAACATTTGGCTTAGGGCTTAATATTCTTCAGTGGATTCTCATTCCTGCTAGAATAAATTCCTTGAGATGCCTTTCAAGGCCCTCTCTGATTGTCTTCTGGCTAACCTAGAGCACACCTCTGTGGACTCAACCCCTACCTCACCCATCTCCCTTCCCTTAGCTAAATGGCACCCATTTGTTATGGACTGAATGTTTGTGTCCCCACCAAATTCAACTGTGATGAATAACCCCCCAATGTGATGGTATTTAAAGATGGGACTTTTGATAGATTGTTAGGTATAGATGAGGTCATGACAGTGAGGCCCCCATGAAGGGATTAGTATCCTTTTATGAAGAAGCAGAGAGACCAGAGCGCTCCTGCTCTGTCTTCCATATAAAGAGAAAACAAGAAAGGCAGCCATTTACAAGACAAAAAGTGGGTGCTTACCAGGAACCACATCTGTAGGCACTTGACCTTGGATTTCCCAGCTTCCAGAGCAGTGAGAAATAAATGTCTGTTGTTTTATTCGCCAGTCTGTTGTATTCTGTTATGGCAGCCCAAGCTAAGACACCATTCTCATTCTGAGTTTGACATTTCCCCAGAGTCCTTCCTTATGTCTCATGGCTAGATCAGGGCCCCTGCCATGTACTCCCATAGCACCCCATATATTTCCTGTCAGATTCATCACAGTTTACTGTGCAGACTTGTTTAATGCCTGTCTTTTCTGCTTGACTATAGATCATGAGAGCAGGAACCCTCTTGCTTTAGATTATCAGTGCCTGTCACGGTGCCTGAGACATAGTAGGCCTAAAATACTGAGATATAGAAGGCATAAAATAACTATTTAATAACTAAATGAATAAATAACTTGATTGCACCATGCTGCTATGCTTTTACATATTCTTGTTTATTTCCTGCAGTACCAACCTAACAAACCCTCACCCATCAATAATCATCTTCTCCTCTTGGAGATCCACCTTAATATTCTCAGACAAAGTTAGATACCTCATCTGTTTTCCTACAGAAAGACCTCTATCATATTGTATTGTTTCTCTCTCACACATCCCCACTAAATTATGAGCAACTTGAAGACAATTATCTTCTTAAGTATCCATTTCTCCTCAGGCCTATGATTCAAGACATGTTTGCTGAATAAATGGATAAATGATTCACTTGAGAAAGAGGTAGGTTAAGTAGTATTTCTTCCAATATGGAGGGATGGAGCTATCCTAACTATTCAGTGATTCCAGTTCTTCATTACCATATTAGAAAGGTATCATCAACATAAAAGGAGCAATAGTCTATTTTTTTAAGATATAGAAAATAAGGGTGTTAATAGTCATTTTACATTAGGAATATAACCTTTAGTTAATTGTGAGACTATTCCCCCAATTCCTTATTATTCACTACAGTACCTCTTTTAACCCTTTCTTTATTTTTAAAAAGAACTGAAGTGGTGGAGATTCCTTAATGTTCTTTGGGGGAAAAAACCCATCTAAAACATTAGAGGTCATACCGTTTTAAGTTGTGTTATAAGTTTCCACTATTCTTTCTTAAAGAATTATTTTTCTATTTGTAATTCTTTGAATTACCACTGTCATTCTCTGACTTCACTTTCTACAAGTATTTTGGTGATGAAGTCTATAGGAGATTTGAGTTCAAGAATTGGTGAACTGCACTATTTCAGACGTTTGCCATTGTCTGGTCACAGACATTGATGGAACCACTTTATGTCTCTGGAATAACTCCATTATGCTTCACATGAAGTGTGGTAATCAGGACTGTAAAAATAGAGCAAATGGTCTCTTAAATCCCTTTTGCTCCCCACTCCTGACATGGGCTTTCATACCTGCTGAAGCTTTATCTGGAAAGTTTCCTCAGCTTGAAGAACATTTTGTATTATTTGAGACAATAATATATAGTTCACATTGATTTGCTGTATTTTTTACTTGTCTTTCTCATGAGATTGTGAACTTCCTTTAAAAAAAATTGCTTGAGGTAAAATTCGCATAAAATAAAATTAACCACCTTAAAGTGTAAAATCCAGTGGCATTTAGTAGCTCTACAATGTTGTGAGACCATACAAATATATAGTTCCAAAACATTCTCATCATCATAAAAG